CACACCAACCCGAATACCGTGCGAGCTACCAAGTTCATTACATGTCCATAGTACACACAAAAAATAGGAAAGAAAAAAAGAAAAAAAGAAAAAAAGAAGAAGCAATTGTTTAATATTTAGCCGCATACAAATTAACTTCCACCAAACTGGATGCTAAACAAAACAAAATTGCATCTCTATTTTCAAAGTTAATTCCTAAGCTAACTTAAGAACCCTATGCATCCTTATGTTAGGGGGCGTCCTCATGAACATTCTTCTAGTTGCTTTATCACGAAAACTCTCGCATGCCTTTACATATTGGTCGGGATTAATTCCTTCCACTGTTGCCAAACAGTTAATACATGCCTCGATGGAGTACTGTTTCTTGTTGGCTTGACTCGCTTTCGACATTTTGTTTTGGCGCATGTAAAATTCTTTTTTTACAAGATTTGTGGTAGTCCATGTGTCAAGTGCCAAACCGATGTGTGCACCCCTTCGCTCACCAACATTGAAAGAGTCGGTATTAGAATTGATACCAACACCAAAGAATGCACTTTGGATATCCCTTTCTTCATCAGAGGTTGGGGGTCCTTGGGTTGAAGCACGGGCAAGTGCTTGCAAAGAGAACATCTAACAAGTCCATGTGATCTAGTCTTTTTTTCCTGAAAACTTAAGCTTTCGGATGTGCCTACAAAATTAAGATAACCAAAGATGTGGTAAATAAGTATTTAACTAAGTGTACTACGAAATTTGTAGTCAACTCTAAGGTGGTGGTAGTTACCTTCACATATTGATCCCAAACGTCATCCGGGGCCATGATCGTTTTTCTCTGGTCATCCCATCCGAATCCCGTATGGTTCTTCAATTTCACAAAGGTATTGTACGATTGCCTAATGCGGTGGTACTTCTGATTCAAACGATTAACAGTGTACCTAACTTTAAACTGCTTGTACAACTCATCGTTAATCCGACTCCAATGCCTTGTAGTGAAAGAATTTTTTCTAGTTAAGGAAGGGTCTTGCTTCACCTTTTCCACCATCATTTGTATGAAGGCCAACCCAATCTTGCTTGGCCACAATCTCAAGTCTTATGTATCATCTACGATACCCTTACTGTCCATCTATGAAATACACACAACAATCCTTATATAATACCCCAAAAAGTGATGGGTTTAATTAAGTCATGAGGTTATAGGTTTGAAAAATACAACTCTCATAATTTGAATAGAAATGTTAGACGATCAATTTATGCACGAATGAAAACTTGTCGAATTGGTAACAAGACAACATTTGAGAAGTAGACAAATTTCATATAGAATAGAAGTAGTTTTTGTATAGACTGTAATAGTATGTTGTTAAATGTCATCTATACCCAGCCATATAATTTCTACTAGTTGTACAAAATTTAATTCACATGTCTAACATTTATACTTGTATTTCGTATATGTTACTCCGGCGGTATAGTTTTTAAAATGTGAAAAAAAAAATTTGGTCAAATGGCACAGTGAAGAATGATACCCTATTTTGGTAAACATTGCATGTCTAATATGTATAACATTCAGTGGAGGAACATACCTCGACGTCGTTTTCACCACAAAAAGATGGAATGGAGTTCGGTGGGTCTCTTGTCTTCTGCTTGTTCTTGGAAGTTTCTTCACGGAATCGAGGTCCTGATAAATCAACTGTATAGTGGACTTTAGCATAAAAAGGAATGAAGCGATTAATTGTAAACTAAGCAAATTCAGCAAACGACAAAGCATGTTATTAAATGAACAATTTTATCATCAATAAGCTTCTTAAAAACACTGACGACATGTTGATGAACTTGTAAGGATCAGAAAAAATGACATTTTGATCATCAATAAGCTGCAAAAAGGTCCAACGAAAGACTTGTTGAAAGCCTAAACCAACAGTCAATTTAAAAAAAGAGTTCAACACCAATAAAAACCTTCAACGCAAGCAGCCCAAGAAAGTGCTCACTGCACATGTGTGCGTGATATATGAAAATTGTTAGCCATTATTTACTAATACATTGTGATTATGCTCAGTGACAAAGGGTCATTCAGTTGCCATGCATAGCTAAATATTGCACACCTCTCCAATCACTCTAAATAAAATACAAATTGCCATTCCAGAACCATTCCTCTCAAATGGATAATTTAACATGCAAAAAAAAAAAAAAATGATTGACAACAATTTTGACAAGGCATTAAAGTTTATATTTAAAGGCAAGTTTATTCAACAAATTTGATGTCTTAAGTACCTTGGATTTTAACTATTTTTGCTTTTAGGTCAGTAGACTTGGTACAGATGACAAGATACTAAAATCATTTCAAAGATTCGAAAATTAAATATATATATATATATATAAAGCACTGATGGTTGATTTCTAACAAAATGAAATTAACAAGTGTTTTGTATCACTATTTTAAACAAATTCAAAACCCTTCAGAAACTCCATATTTCACTGTAGTCACAAATGCAACTGAAACCTCCCTGCAAAGTACAAAAACCTGATACCTTAATATATACCAAAAAAAATAAAAATAAATTATGAATCATGATTTTCAAGTTGAAGAATATTCTGAAGCATAATTGAAGACATATAGTTGAAGGCTACATACAGTTACAACTAGTACAGGTCATTGTCCATGTATACATAAAGATTTGTATGTAGAAGAATTTAAAAAGGCTAAGGACCATGACAATATTGTGTGCAATGAATTCAAACCGAAGATGAAATGAATTCAAATACGAATAACATAATACAATAACAAGGGTTCACAAAACTTACTCCTTTCCTCTCGACTCTTCGTACAACAGAGATTGAACCGACCACAAGAAATGGAGGGTTTCACTACATGAACAACGACGAGAAGAATAAATAAATGTGCGGAAATTAAGATTTGGTTTGAAAATAGTGACGAAGAATTGAATAGTTCGAAATTGAATTTGTCATTTTCCACCAATTTTCCTTGACTGACTGACATTGCTCCTTTGATATTGTTCTTATTCTTTTGTTTAATTTTTTCAAAAACAATTTCTCAGAAACAGTAGAAATATTCAGAAAAAATATATGCTCATAAAAAAGATCTAGAATATATGCTTAGAAAAATATTCAGAAATTTGAATATATGCTGTAAAATTAAACTTCTTGTGATATAATGGTTACTTAGAAATCAACCACAACCACACATGACCATGTTCTCTCTTCTTCAAAGTTGCTGTACAAATACATTGCAGGGTGCTCTGTACTAACTTAAAATAATTTTTGATTATGAAGATGGCTCAAAGTCAGGACATGGAAGGAGAGGTTATTTGTAGGAATTGGCATGAGATGCTATATACGTTATTGAGGTAGGCTCAAGGCTCAGAAATTAGAATCTATGGATGTTGAACATAAAATTAAATAAATAAATAAATAATAATTAATGATATTGAAAATAAAAAAAAAATGAAATAGGATAAAACAAAGTCAACCCTCACTTTCTGCGATGCTGTCTCTTGAACAAAAGAAATTGAATGAAAGAGTATGCCATTTGTAGTTACTATCATGTTGCAAACTTGCAATCCTTGACTCTTAGGTGGGTCCAGAGAAGGAAGGAATGACTCTTAGAAAACTGGAACCAAACACAATGATTAGTATTTAGTTGGTTTCTTTTCTTTCTCAATCTCACCACTTTTGAAGAGATTCAAAATAGGGGTAACGAGAGAAATGAGTCTCTCAATTTCTTCACATTTCACTTCACTTCTCTCGTACTTACTTATCCAAACAAGTAATATGGACTAACAAAAATGTATTTTTTTCTTTTCTTCCCAAATCACCCCATTCAAACGGGCTAGTAGAATGGTGAGAATGAGATTGATGTTGGTAGGCGATGATTGAAAACGTCGACATGTTAACTCAAAATAAGCAACAACGCTTCTGACTCTCCATTTTAATGAATAAATTATAATAACCTTCCTTGAACATTTGACACTATACTCTATGAAAATCAATAGGTTAATTTTTTACTAAGTGACAAAAGAAAAGTGTAGATGAAGATAAAAAGCAAATAAAAAAGTAAATTAGTGTTTGATTTGTTTTACATGAATGATTTCAATGTCTCCAAGAATAAATTAGTGTTTGTAAAAAAACGTGATACAACATCTCATTTAACTTTATGCATGTAATGGTGACATAAATTCTTGTTCAAAATTCTAAACTTACATAAGTTGAACGAACCCTCCCAAAAAAAAATGATATCATTTTTTTTAATAACTTGAACAATGACAAAGCATGCAACATATCACATTATACAGTTCCCCTTGATAAAAAGCAAATTCACAATTACATCATATACACAATGACAAAGCATGCAAAATATAACATCATACATGTCTTAGGGCCGATTACCGAGAGAAAGAGAGAGAGATAGTTTGCAGATAAAAAGATAAGTATCAACAATTTAAAATTTTCTATTACCTACACAAAAGTCTGTTCGCAAATACATCACTAAAATTATATACAAAAAATTATTGAAAATAGATTAAGATACAAAGAAATCATTAAGAGATAAAAATCTAATCTCCTCGCTTTATAGTTTGACAAAATCCAGTTTACAACAAGAATAACACCAAACAAAATCTAAAGCTAGAATACCAAACATTAAAAAACTTATTAATAGATCCGGCTTAAGATTGAATAAATTTTTACACCAAAAATTCTCTAGAGTGAAATTTTTCTAAAGTTTACTACATTGTGTGGTTGAGATTTACTGGCAAGTCACATCAGAAAAATTGATGTGACTTGCCAGTAAATCTCAACCACACAATGTAACACTCTAAGAAACTTTAAGGAAAAATCACTCTAGAAGATCTTTACTCAAATTTTTAGACTTTTTTCCTTTTTCTTTTTCCATATCTAGAATTACACTTTCTAAGAAGCATGATTATATGGTCCCGTTTGTTTTGGGTGTAAGAGGAGGATTGGGATTAGAATAGCTGTGGGCGTTATTTAATGTGCTGTTTATTTATAGAGAGGGACTGATAAGCGCTGAAGGGCTTAAGAGAGGCTTGCAGATAGGATTCACAGTCTGCCCCCAAAACTTGGTATTGAAAGTTAATCCGTTGGTATTAGGAGTGTGATTTCCTTCTTTACCCATCGTTGCCCTAGCCCTAACTCATCAAAGCAGCAGCAGCAAAAGGGAGAGGCAAAGAGAAGCTCTTCTTCTTCAGATTTTCAATCTCAGTACAGCAAGCTCTCTCTCATCTTTCAGATTTTTGATCTCAGTATAGCAAGCTCTCTCTCAGATTCAGCTGAGTATCTGCTACGTCGGTAATTTTTTATTTTTTGTTAATCCCACTATCAGATTCTCTACCCTAAATTATACCCTTTCTTTTTTTTGTGGTTTATGATTTGTAAATGGGTTTCTTTTTCTTTTCATTATTTTTGGATTTATCATCTGTAATTTGATTCATTTTTTTGGGGTTTGTGAATGGGTTTGATGTGTGGGATTCTCTACCTCAAATTATACCTTGTTTTTTTGTGGTTTATGATTTATAACAGGATCCTCATGTTAATTGCATGGTGATGGAACTAATTACATACCTTTGGGTCTATAAAGTTAGCACCAAATTCATAGTGAGTAGTGGGAATCTGTTCATATCAAGTTGGGTTGTCCTTGTAAATCTAGTTTCTGAGGCTTTTTTTTTTTTAATTTTAATTTTTTATAATTTTTTTCACTCTTTACTGTTTTTCTGTCTCTTGTTATTTTTATTATTTTTGGGGTTATAGTTCGATACAGATACAATTGAGATTAGGGTTTTCTTCTCAAAGTTCTGAATTACTTTTACGATAATGTTTGATGTGGTCCACCAAAATTCAAGATTTTCTTTTTTCTTTTTAATCTTTGTTTTGTTAATCTGATCTTTGTGAGGTGTTTGTTACTTGATTTTCTCTTTGTTGGAGGAAGGATCTCTCTCTGTTGATTATCTTTGCTTGCAAGCAATTCTTGCCATGTAGATTATTTGATTAAAGCATCCTAGTAACTGAGGAATTACAACTTGGTAATGTGGCAATTGTCACAATTGAGAGGCTTTAAGTCTTTCTAATCTTTGAAATGCTTTTGTAAATTTCGTTAGTAAGGAATTCTGCCATTTGCGGTGGGTTTGAAGGGATTACTTTAAATTTTTGGTGAGCTAATTTGCTGAAAAAATTGTAGGAAAAGGAAAGAAACTAATATTTGAATTAAAATACCAATGAATTGGAACTTAGATTATTCAACCTTAATTTGATTGTGCTTAATTCTACTTGATGTTTGTAAGTTCTATTTTTACTAGCAAAGTCAATCGGAGTATGGAACACAAATCCCTTTGTTTTTTTTTGGAAACCATATGGAACTTTAGTTTTAAATGTTTATTTCCTATGTTGAAACAAGACTCTATCTAAGTTCAAAATGTAGAATTTTTATATGCCAGTAATGGATGATGTCTTGGGTTTCGTGTCCTTATCCTACAACTGAATGAAGAACTTGTATTGAGTGCACTCATGTGTATGATAAAATAATCCTTGTAATAGTTTATGGCCTCTCTGAAGATGTATGTTTCCGGTAGAAATAGGTACATAGGACAGCAAGGAGCGTCTTTCAGTGATTAGAGAAAATGGTACAAAAACAACAATGCATCGGTTCATTTTTTGTCCACTCTCATGGGTTTCTTTGGGTCTTTCATTCTCCGACTCTCTGAGTTCACATAAAGGTCATATGACAGCTAATGGGAGAATAATGGTCTGATTTGCATCCTATCTTTTTGGTTGTTAGTAATGGGATTAATAGTGGCTGCTTCTTAACCTGCAATCCTATTCATTGGCTATGAAATCATTACAACTGAAGCCCGTGTGTGCCAATAATTGGTTCACTACAAATGTAGAGAAGCATGTTGAACAATGTTTGATACCTATTTTTAATTTCATTTGGTTGGTCTACTTGTGGCAAATTGGCACATCAATGTTGTCATTTCTTTCTTTTGCATACTGGAACATGAATAGTAACCTATTTTACTGTAGAAATAGGCCCATGAAACTCACTCTACTATGGCTTTTTGGCCAACCCAACTTGATATGAACAGATGTTAAATTTATCTAACTCAATTAGACTGTACGTCAAACTCACTCTACTATGGCTTTTTGGCCGTTACAATCTGTTTTATCATATTAAACACTTTCTATTATCTATTATTTGTTCTACTTTTTATGCTAACTTTAGCCCGTTATTGTTTATTCATTTTTTGTAGATGGATAATAATTATGCCACTAAGAAAAGGAGAAAGGACCTTATAGGGGAATTTGTAGCCCTCCAACATGTTGTTTCATCCATTAATTATGCATGTGCTATGTATATAGTGATTTTACATGCTGCATTCAAGAAGAAAGAAATTAGGTTCCAACTACCTAGATCACCTCACCCCTATGGAAAACAAATTGACCATTTGAATAGATTGGTCAACGATAGTGACATAAATTGTCTTAGAGGAGCAAGTAGCAATGTATTTGAATGTGCTTGCACATCATACTAAGAACCGCAAAATTAAATTTAATTTTATGCGGAGTGGTCAAACAGTTAGTAAGCACTTCAATAATGTTCTCAAGGCTGTATTGCGCCTCTATGGTCTCCTCCTTAAGAAGCCTAAACTAATAACTGCTAATTGTACAAATGATAGGTGGAGTTGTTTTCAGGTACAATATATTTACAACTTGGCTTAATTAGCGAATTATATTTTTGTATTGCCAATGTTAATTTTATAATATTGTTTTATTTTTAGAATTGTCTTGGTGCTTTAGATGGAACCTATGTTAAGGTTCTTGCCCCTTCAATAGACAAACCAAGGTATAGGACGAGAAAGGGAGAAATTGCCACAAATGTTTTGGGTATTGAGTAGGATATATGAACTGGAAATGAAATTAAAGGAAAATGGAATAAGGTTGGTCTTAGTGGCATATGGATATGCAGGTCTTGTGGATGTTTCAGGATTAGTATTGTTTATGTATGTGATATTTATACCTTTGCTAAACCTCATAAATTGTGTTAGATTATTTCCACTGGGCTGTTGGCTCACCCTATATGGGAATGCCATTTTCAGGTACAAGTGAGATGCTTTCTCCAAGGAAATAGCGTGGATGGAGTTTTGGGAAGCAAGAGCTTCTTGGGCTTAAGATGTAATGAGCGAGACTCAATTTGTGTAACTAAGCAATGACTTGGAAACATGTAAGCCTACATGGCATTTAACTAGTTGTTAAACAGTGAACTCTGATAAATGAAAGTATGTTATTTCTTATATTTATTCCGCATATGAGTTATCTTTATTGTATTATTTTGGGGGAGTGGCAGTGTGTGCTCACAAGACATGCAATTCATATATGTCTTACTTGGATGGGAAGGATCTGCTTCTGACTCTAGGGTACTTAGAGATGCTGTCAGTAGACCCAATGGGTTGAAAGTGCCTACTGGTATGAACATGGATGATATGGACTACTCAATGTCTACTTCAGGTATTTCCAACTGTGCTGACTCTACGAAAACTGGAAAAAAAGGGGCTCAACCTGCTGAGGGAATTCCTACTGAACTATCTGAGACGGCAAAAAGTCTTGGATCATTCATTGAGAATACTAATACTACGATGGTGGAGATTGCTCATAGGATAGGATATTCACATGACCTATCCCAACAAAGGAGGTTGGTTAATGAAGAACTTCTGAAGTTGCCAATAAGTACTACCCAAAGGTTGATGACAGCATCTATGATAGTGAAAGATGAAGACAAAGTTGACTTATTCTTCAGTTTAGATGAGAATGACAAGATGGAGTGGGTTTCTTTGTTATTGGAAGGTCATATTTGACTATGGTATCTATTTTATGATGGTCTTTTTGTTTGCCACATGACTTCGGTAATGTATTATGTGATACATAAATATTATAGCTTAGGTATTATCGCGGATGCACATGGTGCATAATTTTGCATGGAAATCATGGATATGTAGACTTGCCCTTTCATGGTGGATTTCCATAGTATGTTTTCATGGTTGAATATATGGTTAAACCATTTGGGCTGTTTTTTCCATTGGTGTTGTTCAGAATTTTGTTGGGTATGGTCTTGTTTGGCTCATTGTCACTCACAGATTGCCTACTTTGCCTTTGTGAGCGATCAGTTCTCTCTCTCTCTCTCTCTCTTGGCAGATAAATACAAATGGTGATTGTGGCATAGATGCTTAAGATATATATATATATATATATTTTGATTTTTAGTTGGGTTCTGCTTCTTTGCCCTTCTATTTGCTTGAACTTTCAATTGTTGTTGATGAAATGCAAATTAACTTGATGACTACAAATGTGAACTTGGGTCCCTTTGCTTTCAATTTTCCTTGGCATTTTGGGATTCATTTGCTGGTACTGTGTTCGGGTTATTGCGATGTTGATGAATTAGATGCATGAAAGGAAATTGTGATTCATACTTAGATTGGGGATTTTTAGTTTCAAGTTGGGTATTTTGGTTTGGTGACATGATTTCTGATTTGAGAACTGGAATTTGAGAAACAAACAAGTTAAAAAAATGATAGTATTTTGGTTTGGTGACATGATTTCTAATTGCAATAGTTAGTTTATCGATTTTTTTATTTCATGATGTCAAAGTCATCACATTGAAGATCTTAAAATTAGTCTTAAGATATCAGATGAATACTATTTTGGTTTTGATGCATCGGACTTGCAAAAACAAATTTGGCAAGATATACATTCTGCACAAGCAGTGACATTGAATAATATGGCTTATGTAATATTAAACATAAATAATTGAGTAAAATTTTATTGATAGTTGGATTATTTAATATTTACAAAAAAAAAATAAAAAAAAAATAAGAGAGAATAACATTGAATAAAAATTTATTGGTAGTTGGATTTAATAATATTAAAAAAAAAGAAGAATAACATTGACAAAAAAAAAAAAAATTTGGCAGTTAGATTCTTTAATATTTAAAAAAAAAATTTTAAAAAAAAGTAGAAGAATAACATTGATGAGTAAAAATTTATTTATTCTTTAGTTCCTATAAGTCCAAATTTGATAATAATGTAAAGGGTATTTGTGGAATTTTCACATGGTTAATTCCATCCCTATCTCTCAAAACAAACATGAACTATTATTAGTCCATTGGTTATCAAACAAACACAATTTTTCTTAATCCTCTCACTAGCAGTCCCCTCACTAACAGTCCCCTCCATCCTACCTCTGAAAACAAACGGGGCCTATAATCAATCCAAGTTCTGATTCACATTCCAACAAAAATTCAACCCACAAAAATTCACGAATTGTGAGAACCCGAATATAAAAATTAAGTAAATAATTAAATAATAATAATATTACAATCTCAAATATTTTGGTGGTGAATCCTAAAGTGCAAATTAAATATTTGGAAGGTCTTTTAATTAATTTTAAAACCTAAAATAAATTTATGGTGAAATTTTTTAATTTAAAGGCAAGATTTTTTATTTAAAAATAAATAAATAAATAAGATTAAGTGCCAAATTAGTAAGCATATTTTGATCTAATAATATTTGTATTTTAATGGAGATAGAAATTAAAATAATATAAAGAGATAATAATTTAAAACCTTTTGTTTAGATATATAAACAACAACCCTAGTATTCCTAGAAGCCACAGACGCAGCAGTGAGGGGGAAGGAGAAACAGTAGGAGAAGAGCAGTCGCATTCCAAGTCTTGGACTTAGGTATCGTAGTAAGGAGGTAACCTTTTGAATGCTATCTTCCTTTGTTCCTCATCTTCCTTCCATTATCTTAATATATCCAGTGGGTTAATTAATTGGGTAGATAATTGATGATATATTATTATGCCTAACCAATATTATATTGCAAGGATGATGTATACATCGGTGGAGTGTTTCATGAGAGCTCATACATCCAATATTGTAGTTTAGGAATTAACTAAAGATGATGTTGGGGGGCCAATTTTTTTTAGCAGGTCATGGGCCTTTGAAGAGCCAATGTGGGCATGCAATAGTATTCTAGAAATTTTAATTGAATTCATAATGTTACTCCTAAGAATATTAATCTGCTAGCAAACTTTAGAAATTAAGAAATCATATCAAACGAATGAATTTTGAAATGGAATTTTTACAGTGAATTAATTACATATTGAATTTCAAATTTGAATTTTCTCATAATTTTTCAGAGTCAAAATCCATATAAATTGATGCGTTCAAATCTATCCAGAAAACTGATTTAAAACAGTAAGTTCAGAAGCATCGTTCTCGTTGGGTATAGATCCGAAAATTATCAAATTAGTGTCATTAGAACCGGTTACGAGTCTAGTTTCGTACATTTTTGGCCTTGCATTGATTTCTGGTGTATACTAAGAGAACCATTAATTTCTTTAAAGTGCTACAAAAAATAATATGTTTGGATATAATTAATTGTATATAATTATTTTGATAAGAAAATCAAGTGAAACCAATTGGGTTTGAAACTTAGGATATATTAGTTGATATTTGGAGGGTTTTGGAATTTTTCGAACAACGTGGAGTGGGTTTTGTAATTTTCAAAGTTAGCGAATAGATTGGGAAGGCTTGTTTAAAATTTTGTTTTATCTTAAAGTTACTTTAATTAAGTTTCGATTTGAACCATGTCTTGAGTGATTTTAGACCTTGAAGAACATGAACTTAGGTAATATTTAAGAGTAACGGTGAGTTGGGTTGAGCCTTGTTAATGCGCTTTAGTTTGAGGTTACTTAGTTCCTATTCTTTAGTGTTTTTAAATTAGTAGCAACGTGTAGTTTTCATACTTGGTTTAGAGCACTAGTTCGACTTTTATACTCTATTCGAGGATTACATTATTCCATTTCCAGGTGAGTATTTTCATGCTACATATTTTTATAAATGTTCCCCTACCCTGAACTGTTGGAAAATTTAATTGTTGTTTCAAGACTAAATTGTTTTGATAAATTATTATATTATCAATGGAATCAAATTATTTCTGAAACATGTGTGAACTTGGCATACTGTAAACTATTTGTTTTGGTCTCATGTTTATAATGGTGAACTACCATGTTTTGCGAAACTGATGTGTATTGATTATTGGGACCATCTGTATATTTTAGTCCAGGGAAATTATTTCACTGTGTGTGGTGACTTTGCCCACTAGGGAACAGATCTGGTTTGGGCCGTGATGACTCTAGTGCTCAACAATTGTAAGGAAAAGACCTAGGTTAAGCTAGGTGACCTTCAATCGGATCATCTTAGAGAAAATGCCCAGGTTTCCACAATGAGGATGACTCTTAGTTCGTTATTGGATCCAACAGGGCTTATAGCCTTGAGAATTGTGTGACATGTTACTTGTTATTTCTTGGTATCCAGAAAATTATTGGTGTTCATGTTGTAATCTGTTTTAAGCGAAAAATGTCATTTATCATGTTCTTGAGAGATATGAGTATTTTAATTGTCGAACTGTAGAACCTTCTTTTTGAAATAGATTATCCTTATCAAAACTGTATGCCAATCTAGTTTCAGTGATATAAATCTTATTTTGGAATTGAACCCTATTTTCAAAACTGTATTTACTATTCATGTTGCTACTCACTGAGCTATCAGCTGACTTAGTTGTTTATCACTTCTAGGTGTTAGAAGGACTTAGAGTGGACTCATGGCGTAGCGGGGACTCAATTGCATGGACCTCTAGGATATTCATTTATTTTGTTTTAGCTTGTTATGTCGGGTTTTGTACATACATTGTGATTGGAATTTTTTTTATTTATTTAGAATTATTTTATTTTGTGGGTGGCTTGTATTTCATTTAGTATATATTTTTGGAAGTTTGTTATGGTTGGTTTTACCATTTATACTTGTGACTTGTCATTGGATTGGGTTTTGATTTATTTATTTATGGACTATCATCACATTTATTCTTCGTAATTTTGGGTTCATGTTTAAGCTTACGTGTGCCTTGGGCTGAGTCCCTGTGGGCCATGGCCGGTCATGCCCGTATTTGGGGTGTGACACGAACAATTGAAAATTGAATTATCAAAGCAAAACAAAAGCAGGATAAAGAATGTATTGTACATACTGTAGTGATCTCGGTTTTGATCCTTCTTTCATATTTTGCCACTTCGACTGGGCCAGTCGGGGGTCGCGCCGCCTGGTTAGCTCGCGGGGGTCCAGGGGGCAGCGTCTCTTGGCGGGTCCAAGGGCAATGCCTTGGCAGAGGTCGAGCTGCCCGGTCAACTCGCGGGGTTCCAGAGGGCAGCGCCCCTTGGCGAGTCCTAGGGCAGCGCCCTTTGGCGAGGTTGAAAGGCAGCGCCCTCAACACAAAAATGCAAAATGCATTCGAAGTTGCTTGTCCGCTCGAGCGGCCATTTATGCGCTCGAGCGAAGAATGTTTGGTTTCAGAAGTTTGACCTGTCTGCAAAAATACTGGGTTAGTGTATTTGACGCTTGAGCGGGGCATTCCACGCTCGAGCGGACCATGTTATATCAGTTCGTGAATATGATATTTCATATCACTTTTTCAGTCCTCTCTCTCTCTAAAACTCTCCAGAATTCCAGATCGGGAGCTTCTCTCTCTAGAAGTCATCTTCTCTCTTTGATTTCTCCAAATCCATTGGGATTTAGACCTAAGTTCTTCACCAAAGTTGGTTATCATCTCGAGGACTTCATTGTGTGCGGTGAAGATCGAGTTTCGACACCGTTGATTTTAGGAGTTTCATCTCATTTCTTCTTTAAAACTTGAGGTAAGGATTTTCTTAGAGTTATATATATGTTTTTGTAAGATCTAGATGATTTTCAAAATCATCCTTTGATTAGCTTTGAGAAATTGATTGTTGATTTCAAGAAGATGAGTGATTTTGAAAGAGGGTTTAATTTCTTTTCCTTTTAAAATAGAAATTGAAGGTTTTGAACCATATTGATTGAGGAAAGATGATTTTGGGGAGATTCTTCTAAATATTTTGGAGATGAATGTTTTCGGTGAGAAAACCTAGAAAATGGGTCTTTTCTTTGAAAGATGTTGAAAATCCTTGGAAGATGTTGTCATATTTATTTTGTGTACCAATATAAATGGATGTTTTGAAAATTGTTTATTTATATATAAATGATGAATTTTGTTAAAAAAATGAGAAATGTTGTTTATTTTAGAAATTGTTGTCAAAATGTTGATTTAGTCTTGAATTGA